TCAAATATTTGGCCTCGTCGTCAGAAAGAGCTCGAGTTGTACGGTTGAGCTGACGGAACATTCCCCATCCTAATGGGAAGGCATGCTTGATCTCCATCAGGAACACCAGCTGATCCCACACGTCTCCCTCGTCGAAGGTCATTCCATTGTCTACTTTATCAGCTGCTGTGACGTAACTATTCTGCTCTTCCAATCTGTCACTATCGAACAGCTGCTCCTGGATGTACAGTGAAAATAAGTTGACTGTAGATTCCACACCGTAAACTCCTGCCCAGTATGGCCTTTGCTGGTAGTTGTGTCCAAGTTCATGCCAACTTACCCAGTCATAGGGAGTGCTATTATCAGCCATGTTATAATATACGCGCCAAAACATAGCTGGGAATCCAGCGTGGGCTGATCCAGCTGTGATCTGAGCATCATTAACCAGCCACTGTTTACCGCGTGGTGGATCTTCCGACTCATCAAAACCTGCAGCGTAATTTAGCATTCCCATAATTTCGTCATAACGAGACATCAGTTCGTCAGGATTGGTTACTTTTCTTGCATCCTTTGTGGCAAGAACAACCACACATTTATCTGATTCCATTATCGTCTGTGGAGCATCTCTCATTTTGATAGTTTCCCATTCTGCATTCGATGTCTGTCCATAGCGATAGTATGGCGCTTCGACCACGTTCGTGACATCAACATCAACTGTGAAATGTTCCCCTTCACTGAACACAAATATGATGTTGCCTCCATACTGACTCCTGATCTCATTCACACCTGGTTTGACATAGAAAACCTCAGAAACTTTGGGCATGCGTCTAAAGTATTTATTAGAAACATTCGGTGAATTAGGCTGAAGCCAGTCAATGTGTGCACCAATGCGAACAGTGATCTGCAGTGCTTGTGCCTCTGATAAAGTTTCAGGCAGAATAACCTGACACACGTCTCCCTCCGCTAGGTACAGGTCAGTGAGCTGCCAGTCTTTGGGAACTGTCATTCGGAAATCTCTGACTTGCCCAAGAACAGATAGATCTAGAGTCACCTTTTCTGTGACTCTTGGCGTGCTAGTGTCAACTGTACCAGGGAAAGTAACCACATCCCGAGGATAGAGGAGAGTTTCTGACTTTGAACCCAGCTCATTTAAGAGTCCACGCGTTAATTCCTGATTGTATGTCGTCTCATCACTACCAGGGAATGGGTACACAGCCGGCTTAGCTCCTTCTAGGCCTGCCTTTAAATCAGAAAACTTCCACCATTTTTGGTGAAGTCCATCATTTGGGTAATACAAAATTACCGTTGTCCTAGGTTCTGGCCGAGGCACGTCCAGAGCATCAGCGCCAATCCTAAACCTCTCTGCATCATCCATGTACCAGGATGCTGTAGAACTAGCGGTGTCCTCTAGCTTGACAGACCGTGTGTTGTAGTCTGGAGCGAGACAATAGGCACGATTCCCTCCCCATTGCCAAGAATTACCAACAGGGAACCACACCTGCTGGTTGTCTCCACTATTTGGCATCATTCCTACAACGGCATCACTTGGTCTTGAACCACTGCGTACACCAACACACGTATTGCTGCTTTGGTTGATGAGGAATTCTGGTTCTGAGTTCACAGTTTCGATCCACCATTTTTGGTTTAAATCATTATTTGGGAGATTTAGTATAACTTTTGTCCTTGGATCTTCTAGTGCATTTGACCCAAGGCATATCCTCTCATCCTCATCGTAGACCCATGAAATTGTGGAAGAGTTTGAATCACCCAGACCTACATTATTTGTCCCATCAATAGGCACTAAACAGTAAGCTGTATTTCCTCCCCACAGCCACTGGCCGCCAGTTTTGATCCATTGCTGACTCTGACTGTTGGCACATTTCGCAGTCGACACCACTGCGTCGTGAGGACTCGATCCCTCCGTGACACTCAAACATCTATTGGAACTTTGGTTGATGAGGTATGTAGTTTCTCCATCTTTGAGCTGATTCCTTTTCTTTACGTTACCTGGATGAGAAATTCGACAACAGATTAAATCGTTTATTTATGCTCTAAAATATCATAATCTTCAAGGTTATAAATCTAGGAATAGGAGCAAACTTGCTAATGTCATCGATATTACATTTTAGACTTTGCCACTTGTTCACAATTCATATCATACATATAAGTAAAGATGATACATAGATATATTATGTTACCCAACTAATATTTACATTCATGTTGTAAAGTAATATTAGTTTAAAGGATCACGTGCTTTGGATTAATAAATTTATAAAGAAAGACTGAAAAACAACGTACTGGGTAGACCATAATCATTTGCCTAATTTATTCGATATACCTCCTGTATCTTTACGGCATCTTTTATTTCAAATTCAAGTTTTAACTATAAAGTTAGTACTTCTGAAAATACACTGAATTCCGTACCAAGCAGATCACCTCAAATAAACCATAAAAGACCCTTCATTTCGTACCTGCCATGGTTGTTTTGGGTCTTCCTCGTTCGACGGAGCTTTCTTGCTGCGAGACCTTTATATACCAATGGGCTGTTTCATCTTCCAAGCTAGACTGAGTGCATGTCGAGATGATAAGGAGAAAACAGCATAGATAAATGCATTCTAAAACTACACGAGAGGGTTTTCCTGTCTTGAATTTTATTAGATGTGTGATAATAGTGTAAAAGTCGGGTGTTATCTGCTTAGAGTTTTTATATCATTATCTTACGTCTCAGATTCCTTTTCTTTCTGATATTGGTTGTGATTATCAGTTATCCTTGTTATTATACTGGACACCTATAAAAATTTTCATATTATAACGTTGTTACTGACTAATAGGACATCAAGATCATGCTTCCGTTGCACTGCATCTAAGTTTAAAGGTAATGGTCATTCCCAGTTTTTCTTTGCCATTTTATATTATTGACAATACTCATCAGTAAGTGAATTTGATATAGTAAGTAGTTTTGACGGAAATCTCCCTTGTGCCCAGCAAAATGAGAATCCCAGAAAGATGTGAGAAGCTTTGATGACGTCACAAGAGGTGATTAACCAATTCGGGTACATATTTCCTCAAATCATTTCAGGTTTTTAGATGAAATTTGTCAAATAGACAATGACAGAGATGGAGTAGAACCCCTGAGATGCAACATAACAGGTCACAGTGGAAACCCAGGAGTTCGAACCAGAAAACGGAGATGATCCGGCAACAGACAGAAAGGTTAATGATGGGCTACGGTTTTGGCTTGGTGGACAGAAAGAAAATTAAAGAATGGATGAATAAAGGATTGAGGGAAAGGAAACCATGCTTAGCACATTCTAGGAAAGCGGAGTTCACGTCCATTATGTTTATCACTATTATTACTATCTATGTTTTTGCCATTTTACCATTTTCTGTTAATATCTTTTTTTCTTCTTTCTTTCTTTCTTTTTTTGTTTTGTTTATAATTATTTATACATTATTCATTATTAATGATGTTTATTATTACTATGATGAGTATTATTGCTGTTTTGTTGTCATTGTTTTTATGATTGTTATTCTATCACATTAATATAATTACATTATTATTACTTTTATCGTTATCACTATGATTATTATTATTATTATTATTATCATAACTATTGCTGATATTATTATTACCTCTGCCAAGGGGTTTATGTTTTTGGTAGCCTTGGTTTGTTGGTTTGTTGGTTGGTTAGCAGGATAGCTAAGTTATGAACAGATTTGTGTGATTTTTTTAATCAGAGGTGTGTCTTAGATCACGATCCTGATCCAGGGACTGTTTAAATAATTGCATAGTTACCCCAATTCCTAAGGCAGTTGGGTTGATTACGCAATCATTTAAAAAGTAATAGAAATGGTAATGATACTAATAGTTAACCTTATTGCTTTGGCGGAGGTATGCGCTCTCTGAGTGCTTCTAGTTATTGTTATTGTTACCTCTGCCAAGGAGGTTATGTTTTTGGTAGCATTGGTTAGTTTGTTTGCTTGTTGATTGGTTAGCAAGATAACTCAAAAAGTTATGAAAAAAAAATTATGAAATATTTACCAAAGTTGCGTCTTAGCCTAACTAAGATGTCATTAAATCTTGGTGATCTGGATCATGATCTGGATCCAGGATTTTTTTTTAGTAAATGCATCAGTAACTGTTATTATCATTAACTTATATTAGCTCCGCCAAGGAGGTTATGTTTACAGACGTCACCAGTGAACTTGAGAAAGGGGATTTTAATGTAATTCTTCAAGTATGAATATTTTTATTGCATCAGTGACCCTAATGCCTTTGAGGAGGTATGCGCTCTCTGTGAGCTTCTAATTATTACTATTATTATCATTCTTATTGTTACTACTACTGCAACTATTACTATCAATATCATAATTATGAATATTACTATTACTTCCATTCTTATTATTATTCTATAAACGTTTTCGTTACTATCATTTTAATAGTATTTATATAAATATCAACACTATTATTACCATTAGTATCATCCTATTCATCACATTAGCACCATCATCACAGAGGCAAAAATATAATGGACGATGGTTGCAATGATTAACTGTAGTGCACCGCCTGTATACACCCCCACGGCCCCCTGCACTTGCCCCCCCCCCCTCACCCCTTACGAGATGAAGGACGGCGTCCACCCTCGCTCCACGGCGGAGGTTGCAGCCTCGCACGCCTCCCAGGTCGCCCAAAACCCTTGCTTTTATCTCCCGGGAGCGAGGATGCTCGTGGCGGTGAGGAAGCTGCGAGCCATAGAAAACGGGAAGTCCACCTGGAGAGTCTCACCTGCGCGTCTTCGTTGTCTTTGCTCGTCTTTTATTTGTTTTTTCTTGTGTTTTAGTTTGTTTTTAAGAAGCATTCTTCGTGTGGTGTGTTAGACTGAACCTTAGACGAAGAGAAAGACCACCCACCATAAAGAAATAAATTACAGAAAGGAGAAATTTACAATCTATTGGATCTTTCAGGTCTTTTATCTGAAATCTGTTATAAATATTTTTTTTATTTCATTTTATTTCATAAAACTTTTATTCTTCATTTTATGAACAAAATTTTAAAAACTACTTTTAATGATTATAGTAAGACTTTGATAATTTCAGAAAACCTTTTTTATTTTGCAAACGCTATAAGAAAAGTTCCCATAAGGCCCATAAGGGAGTTCCAGGGCTGGACTCTCGTGGCTGTTGTGGCGAGAAATTGTGGTCTTGGCAATATGGGAACTAAGTGATGAAGTTCTATTTACGTGAGAAAAGGTGGTTCTCTAATTTTAGATATTTTTTGTTGTGTCTTCACTGTGTTTTATGTCTTGGTCTTGTGTATTAGTGCTTGTTTTCCTGCGCTTGTGTTTCGTTTTCTGTTGTATTTCTGCTTTTATATAATAAATGTATAATTTTCAAAAACATCTCTTTGATAAGTCCCTGACTATTTGTAAGAAGGAAGTCTGAACAAGACTCCAAGTCCATTCTAATTTCAGATCTTAAAGGGCAAAAAATCCAAACCCTGAAGTACAGATGAAGCATCTCTACACGCTTCTCCTCGGGATTCAAACCACGCCAACTTCGGTTCATTTGTACAACTACACTTCACTCACACATACACATCCATACACAGCTGTAGCTCCTCTCCACAAATCTATTACAACCTACACTCGATCCAGAACGTACCAATCTGGTGGTGGCAGCGAGATACCCTTTAATGAGCTAAGGTACGTGTCTCAATCAGCAAACACAACAATATCATTGATATTATTATCATAAGTATGGGATGACATATTGTTTTAATCTTGGCAGCTGCAATATGTTATTAATACCAATGCTTCAATAGTAAAACAATTCTTTATTTTCTTCATTACATACAATGTTGATATTATAACTGTATTGTCATTGCCGTTATCCCATATCCCGTTATCCTAGTTTACTTATCACCTCCATTGGTGTTACTTGTTTCAGTATCAATATATTTGATATCTGTACCATCATAACAAAGTTTTGTAGCTGTGAATTATATCCTCATTACTATCAGAATTCTCATTTTATTATTGTAAATAAAATTATCAGACAGAATTCCACTTGAATTTTATGATGTATCCATAATGTGATTTTTTATCACTTGCACTTAGATCTCATAAATCATTAAAACTACAAAAGTGTAATGCATATAAGGAATCTTACATTACAATCACCGTGCAATGGCAATGCAATCATTATGTCTGTACCACACATATATATGTATATATATTTATATGTGTGTGTGTGTGTGTGTTTGTGTTTGTATGTATATATGTGTATATATATTGATTCCCAGATACATGTAATAAAATCGTGTATTATCACACTTTATCTAGCAACTATTAAAATGAAATGCAGTCACAAATGCATATATACACTACACTATGATACCAGAGGATTACATATGAAATAGAAAATCTACATGCCCTTATGAAATTATAATACCGCCAAAAATTTAAAAACAAATTCCTCTTATCTTCATATTATCAGTCTTCAATCAACTTTGGATCTTTGAATCTTTAGAAAGCCTTTTCCCTTAGACCTTCATCTGTAGGATAACACATGGTGTATACATCTGAGCGTCGGACACATCTGTTACTTGAGACGGCTTTCCCGCGGCTCGGTGAGAGAGGTCTCCCGGCGCCTTCTCCAGACCCAGTTGCTCTATTTCGTCCTTGGCTTCCTGGCTTAGGCTCAGACCCCAGCGGTCGTAGGTAAGGACTAGGTCGTAGCCCACGCTCTTGCTGAGGTTCTTGTACACATGGTCGATCTGCCGTTGATGATCTTGTGCCAAATATTTGGCTTCGTCGTCAGAAAGAGCTCGAGTTGTGCGATAGAGCTGACGGAACATTTCCCACCCCAATGGGAAGGCATGCTTGATCTCCATCAGGAACACCAGCTGATCCCACACGTCTCCCTCGTCGAAGGTCATTCCATTGTCTACTTTATCAGCTGCTGTGACGTAACTATTCTGCTCTTCCAATCTGTCACTATCGAACAGCTGCTCTTGAATGTACAGCGAAAACAAGTTAACTGTTGATTCGATACCATAAGCTCCTGACCAGTAAGGTCCTTGTTGGTAGTTATGACCAAGTTCATGCCAACTTACCCAGTCATAGGGAGTGTTATTATCAGCCATATTATAATATACACGCCAAAACATAGCCGGGAATCCAGCGTGGGCTGATCCAGCTGTGATCTGAGCATCGTTCACCAGCCACTGTTTACCGCGTGGTGGAACCTCCGACTCGTCAAAACCTGCAGCATAATTTAGCATCCCTATAATTTCGTCATAATGAGACGCCAATTCGTCAGGACTGGTTATTTCTCTTGCATCCTTTGTGGCAAGAACAACCACACACTTATCCGATTCCATTAACGTCTGTGGAGCATCTCTCGTTTTGATAGTTTCCCATTCTGCATTCGATGTCTGTCCATAGTGATAGTATGGCGCTTCGACCACGTTCGTGACATCAACATCAACTGTGAAATGTTCCCCTTCACTGAACATAAATATGATGTTGCCTCCATACTGACTC